ATGTCTTTTCAAGCTTGAAGGGATGCAACTCTTCACCAAGTGTGAACACCTTATCCTGTAAGTGACCATTCAACTCTTTTTGTAGTCTTTTAGCTCTAGCTCTTGTAATTGTGGCATAATGATTGGCTCATGATTGGGTTGACTTTGAGCATAAGCTTCATTTGAGCTGATTTGMGCTTCCTCCTTTTGTAGGCTTTCCCCGTGCACTCCGTGATCACTCATTTCTATATCATTCTCCCGTTCTTYGAAAGGATTCGTCCTYGAATCCAAATCACCTACATCAAAAAGGGATAAATCAGCAACATTAAAGGTAGCACTCACATTGTAGTTACCAGGAAGATCAATCTTGTATGCATTGTCATTGATCTTTTCCAAAACTTGAAATGGTCCAGCTCCCCTTGGATGTAACTTGGACTTTTTTTGGTTTGGAAAACGTTCCTTTCAGAAGTGAATCCAAACCTAATCTCTAGGTTTTAAAATTAGAGGCTTCCTTCCCCGATTCACTCTTTTTGCAACTTTTTCATYATGCTTCTCAATCTTTCTTTTACCTGCGTATGAAGCTTCCTGACAAACTCAACTTTTGAATTAGCATCATGGTGAACAAATTTGGTAGGTGGCAAAGACAATAAATCAAGAGGGATCATAGGATTAAAACCATAAACAATCTCAAAAGGTGAACACTTTGTTGTGCTGTGAAAAGCCCTATTGTAAGCAAACTCAACAAAAGGCAACATTTCTTCCCACATTCGAAGATTTTTATCAAGAGTTGCCCTAAGTAAAGTGATTAATGTCCTATTAACAACCTCTGTTTGACCATCAGTTTGTGGGTGACATGTGGTAGAAAACAAAAACTTAGTTCCTAACTTTCCCCATAAAACCTTCAAAAAATGACTTAAAAACTTGACGTCTCTATCACTAACAATGRAACTAGGAATGCCATGTAATCTTACCACTTCCTTAAAGAATAAATCAGCAATGTTTTTAGCATCATCAGTCTTATGTCAAGCAATGAAATGTGACATTTTGCTAAATCTATCAACAACCACAAAGATGCTATCATGTCCCCTTCTTGATCTAGGCAATCCAAGAACAAAATCCATAGACAAATCAGTCCAAGGTGTATTCGGAACGGGTAAAGGAGTGTACAATCCATGTGGTTTCGATTTTGATTTTGCCTCTTTACATGTAATGCAAGTACTGCAAACTTTATGAACATCATGATGCATGTGTGGCCAATAAAAATTATCTTTAAGAGAAACATAAGTCTTGTTTTCAGCAAAATGTCTCATAAGTCCACCCYCGTGTGCTTCCTTAACAAGTAATTCTCTATAAGAACCCTTAGGAATGCAAAGCTTATCTTTTCGAAACAAGAAACCATCAAAGATATAGAAGTGATTGACTCCAATTCCTTTCACACATTGAGAAAATATTTCACCAAAATCATCATCATTTTTGTACATTTCTTTCAAAAACTCAAATCCCAGCAATTTAGAAGATAAAGTTGAAAACAAGGTATATCTTCTAGACAATGCATCAGCAACCACATTCTCCTTACCACTTTTGTACCTTATAACATATGGAAAGGATTTAATGAATTCATCCCACTTTGCATGACGTTGATTCAACTTGTCTTGTCCCTCGAGATGCTTCAAGCTTTCATGGTCAGTATGGATCACAAACTCCTTTGGCCAAATGCTGCCAAGTTTGTAATGCTCTTACCAAAGCATACAACTCTTTATCATATGTTGGATAGTTCAAAGCAGCCCCATTCAACTTCTCACTAAAGTACATAATGAGTTTTTGTTCCTGCATTAAAATTGCTCGAATTCCTATTCCACTAGCATCACACTCAATTTCAAATGTATTTTCAAAATTTGGCAAAGACAACAAAGGTGCAGAACTTAATTTTTCTTTTAAAATAGCAAATGCCTTTTCTTGAGATTCTCCCCATTTGAAAAGAACGTTCTTTTTAACCATTTCATTAAGTGGGACAGCAATGGTACTAAAATCTTTGATGAACCTCTTATAAAAACTAGCCAAGCCATGAAATGATCTCATTTCACTAGTATTTTTAGGTTGTGGTCATTCCTTAATAGCTTTAACCTTGTCAATATCAACTTCAACACCATTTGCAGAAACAACAAATCCAAGAAAATTAATCCTATCCAAACAAAATGAATACTTTTTCAAATTGGCAAACAATTGAGCTTCCCTCAATGCAAGCAAAACCTTTCTAACATGCTCGACATGTTCTTCTAATGACTTGGAATAAACAAGAATATCATCAAAGTAAACTACCACAAATTTTCCTAGAAATTCACGCAAAACATGATTCATGAGACGCATAAACGTACTAGGTGCATTGGTAAGACCAAAAGRCATAACTAACCATTCATACAATCCATGTTTGGTCTTAAAGRCAATTTTCCACTCATCATCAGCTTTCATCCTAATTTGATGATATCCAGATTTGAGATCAATTTTAGTAAATAAAATAGACCCATGTAATTCATCTAACATATCATCAAGTCTCGGTATAGGATGACGATACTTTACCGTAATCTTGTTGATGGCTCTGCAATCCATGCACATTCTCCAAGAACCATCCTTCTTTATAACTAAAATGACCGGTACTGAACATGRACTAAGACTTTCCCTCACATACCCTTTGGCAAGCAACTCATCAACTTGCTGTTAAATCTCCTTTGACTCAGTAGGATTAACTCGATAAGCTGGCCTATTTGGAATGGCTGCTCCAAGGATAAAATCAATTTGRTGATCAATTTCCCTAAGTGGTGACAATCCACTTGGTAGTTCTTCAGGAAATATGTCCTTGAATTCTTGTAACAAACTTRGAAAAATACTAGGCAAAGAAGTTTCTAGGTCACAAGTTAGAAAACAAGGTCCTYTGCACAAAAGTACAAAGATCGGTTTTGTTGAAAACAAAACTTTCCTAACCTCACTATTTCTAGCTATCAAACTCTCATTTCTTACTTTTCTCTCTTTGARCACTTTCTCACTCTCTCCGCTCCTTTCTTTTTTTCCACAATTGTTTTTCTCACTATTTTTTTCTTTGAAATTCTTTTSTCTCTTGCTCTTTTCACTCAAAATATTTTTACTCTCTTGCTCTATTTTCTCGGCCTCCACTCTCATTTTCTCTAACTTACATTGCTCTTCAAATACATCCTTGGTTGACAAAGGACGAAGAATTATCTTTCGCTCATCCTTGGTGAATTTGTAGCRATTAAGATAACCATCATGCACAATTTTTCTATCGAATCGCCATGGTCTTCCCAAAAGAATTTCTCCAGCATGCATGGGTGCAACATCACATAGAACATCATCCTTATATCTTCCAATAGAAAATGGCACAATGCATTGTCTATTAACTCTAACTTCCCCACAATTGTTCAACCATTGAAGTTTGTATGGTCTAGGATGTGGTGTTGTAGGCAATCCCAATCGTTTGATAAGTAATGTACTCACAACATTAGTACAGCTTCTCCCATCAATTATCACACTASAGGCCTTCCCATTCACATGACATCGGGTATGAAACAATGTTTCCCTTTGATCTTCAACGAGGTCCTYTTTAATTAGGGCACTTAAAGCTCTTCTAGATACAAGCACATCCTCTACTAYTGGTTCTTCATAGCTACCATCACTAGACTCCTCCGAATAAACTATTTCTCCCTTCTCCTCATTTTCGCTTTCTTCACCCTCAGTTACTACCTCTCCATTTTTTATGATCATAGTTCTTTTGTTTGGACAATCCCTACTTACATGCCCTACCCCGTGACATTTCCAACATTTAATATCCCTAGTTCTCTCCTTATGTTCATCTACCTTCTCTTTCCCCTTCATTGAACTCTCMCTTTCTCAATTTTCCTCTTAGRTTTCTCATTCCCCTCTCGATTTCCAGGATAAACATCATTATTCTTACTATCCTTTTTCCATGTAGCACTAGAGTTGGAAAATTGTTTAGAAGAATACCGTTGGGACTTCCGTTGGATTTGTCTCTCGATCTTGATTGCTAAATGCAACATCTCCTCAATGTCAAAGTAAGGTTGTAGATCAACCTTGTCAGCAATCTCCTTGTTTAGACCATTAAGAAAACACGCCATGAGTTGCTCCATGTCCTCATCTAGATCAAGTCGATCCATCAAAGTGTCCATCTCCTTGTAATAGTCCTCCACTGACTTGTTTCCTTGTCTCAACGCTTGCAATTTTTGTGGGCTCTAATTACACCACTTCGCTGGAAGAACGGTTTGGTATAATCGCCAGGATTTCAATCAAGATTCAATCGGTTAGTTTGAATGCGTGAAAAAAGACTGTACAAGAGGTCATATACAAGAAAAAAGAAAAGGTAGACTCAATATCATAGAAATCTAATACATCGGAATCCGCACCGTCTTATTCGTTTGCAAAAATAGGACTCAAAAGAATCATGATTCGRTAAATAGGCCACTGATCGGCATCCTCAAAGACTCCTTGAACTCGTACCACGAAACAATTGGTGCTTCAAGATTCCTTCTTCTACGAGACATTAGCTTATCCCACCATGTTTGTGCATATTRTTTAAATCGAGCAACACATAGTTGTACCTTCTTTTCTTCACTGAAATTATGGCACACAAATATYGACTCCACCTCCTTCTCCCATTGGAGATATTCTTCTGGATCAGTCTTGCCAAAGAACTTTGGAATCTTCAATTTGATGCTCCCTAGATTACGATCAACTTGAGCCTCTTCTCTCGGAGCTCTCCTCTGATAATTGTGTTGTCTTCCACGACCTCTTCCTCTATCCAAGCGATGCCCAGCACGTCTATCTCCCCTTCTATGCGTGGCTAACAAGGTAATTTGGTCATCCTCTAGTTGATCAGACCCACCTTCCTCATATTCATTCTCTCGATATAAAAGATGGTCATCCATAACACGTGGTGGTGGTGGTGGTATCCTCTCCTGCGCTTGGTTTTGAATCTCCAACCTTTGCATTCGTTCCGATATGTCTTCCATGGTACGAATCATTCGCTCCATAGCTCTTTGTTGGGCCTCCCTCATCCTACCATCCGATATGTTACCTTCATTTTCTTCATTTGCCATGCTACAAAAACGAACACAAAGTAAAAATGGACCTTACAAGCACTCCCTCACGTGTTACTCTCTTGGAATATGAAAGGTCACTCGTGTTTGCACTCAAGAAAAAAAAAAGAATGTATAAATACCCTAAGATTTCTAATTTCTCAAACTTCAGCAAGTCTTGTAGTATTCTTATGAGAATCAAGCAAGAACACTTCAAAATAGCCTAGAATGTGAAAAGTTACAAAATCCAGAATTTAGAAAACAAGCATTGAAAGAGGCAATGTAATGAATTTTAAGCAAAATGGTTCAAGAATGATATGATGGAAATGAATAGGAACGATTTGATGAAAAGATACAGATATAAGAGATAAAGCGTTGGAACTATCTTCACATGTAATGCAAAAGAAACAATGCTTCACTACTTGCTATATCGGCACTTTTTTTTCCGTTTTTTTAGTACATAAAACAAGAGACAATCAACATCAAATATGAAATGCCAATAAAAGATGATAAGTCTCTTCGTTTTCTTYCCTTTTCCTCTTTTTTTTAGCAAACTTTTTTTTTCYAGCAAGCATGATAAAAAAAATGAAGCAAATATGAGAAGAAGCAAAATGAAATTAGATGTAACAATTGAATGAAGAAAGAAAAAAAGATGAAGAACAAAGRCAAGCGAAATATATATAATCTGTTTTAGAGCCAAAGCTCTGATACCAAATAATAAAGGAACTATCTCAAATTATGCATGAGAACTCCCCTATTCAAGGTGAACCTCCACAACAATAACAAGAATAATCTCAATAACAAGACGATGA